CGGCAACGCCAGCCGCTCCTTCAGCACAGGTGTGCGGCAGCATCTCGCTGAAGGTCTTTCCCCGGTGGGATCCAGGATTGGCAGAAACTTGCCCTTTTAGCAAGTGGACGCAGGACGTGCTGTTATGGTCTATGGTCATAAATTTGCCTATGAACCAGCAGGCCCTGGCGGTCGTCTTGCAGCAGACCGGCACGGCACAGGCGACATCATCAGGGCTATCGTCGTATCGTCGTAGACGTTTTGGCGCACGGTGGTGTCATCGAGATGACCGACGGCTGAGGCCCACAGTGGCAGAGTGGACGCACGATCGTGTTGTACGTGATGAGCCAGAATTTCTCACCATTGGGCTACGAGCAGAACGCCAACGCAGCACCACAGCACCTTGGATTTCAACGACTGAGCGATGAGACCGTTGATGCCGCTCTGTGCCGCTACGCCACAGCACGGGACAAGGCACAACAGGAGGCCAACCTTAACCTTGGACCAACAGGCACGGCCTACCACCTTCTGCGGGCACTGAGCGCGTCGCCACAGGGACCTTTCTTCTTCAGCCTTTCAATGGTTAATTTGCCGACGCACGAGAACAAGCTCATCCGGATGGAGGAACACTTGCGGCGATCAGGTCGTCTTCTAGAAGGTGTGATGCACCAGCAACCGGGCCAAGCGAGCTTCGCCAATTTCTTCGCCGAGCAACCCTGCAACCCCTTCTCCCCGCGACGCCAGCGGGCCAGGCTGGGCCGAGTTATTTCCCAGGTTTCGTTGGCGCCCCGGCTCAAGCTTCAGCGGCGCCAGCCGACGGTGGAGCTTGAGACGTCTATCCTGGCACCGACGGCGAGCATTGCGGCATGTACGTGCGCGACGAAGACGACGACCACAGCGAGAGCGCCACCAGCGAGGAATATCATCTTGTCCACGATTTGCCCGAATACACATACCAGCAGGCGAACGAACTCCACGGGGCCTACGTTTTGGCCAGCCGGAAATGGCGGAGCCTCACAGGCGAACGGAGCCGCTTCGTCCGCCATCCCATGCAAAAGGGACATGGGCTTCGGCAAGCCAGGTGGCGTCTACCACAGCAGCTTCGGGAAAAGGGCAAGCGCGACAAACGCAACCCCATGGGCAAGGACGGCAAGACGATGACCTGTCATCAGTGTGTATCGGATGAGCATCTTACTGCTCACTGCCTTCACCGCTCCAGCAGCGGAAAGGGCTCGCACCTCACCAACGGCCCTGCGAGCCCGACGCTGGCGCAGGATATCCAGAGGACCATGGCCACAGGCGTCCTCGAGGGCATGATCACCAGGCAATTCGTCGGGGCGCGCGGCTTCCTTCAACAGTTTTCGTATTATTCCTCTTTGGGGCATTTTCTTCTCGCAGACACGCCAGGCTAGGATGACAGTTCGCGCGCGCATGCTGTTGTTTCAACAGCCACTTCCGCTCGCATATGATCCCCGTCGCGACCATTATCATGCAGAAATCAGCTCGATCATCATCGCCATCTTCATCCAGGAGGAGGTGCACATGAGCACGTTCGCGTTTCTCTCCCTGCTGCTGCCGCCGCCTCGCCTCGCCTTCACGGCGTTATTCGGATGTACAGTTGAGTCGGGCCTGTCCCACTACAGGGGGGAAATTCAAAAATAGCCCAAACATAGTCAGGGGGCGTTGTTTTGCGTATTACTTGACCATTTTGGAGTTTCTTATATATTTTTCGTCGGAGATCCCCCTGCGTGGGGGACACGCCCGACTTAAATGTAGAATGGAGGCGAGGGATTTGGCTTCATCATTCCCGATGACGGCGGCAACGACGTCTTCGCTCGCGCTTCAACTGTTGATGGGTCTTGTTTTCATCCAGGTGCCGTGGCCCCTTACCAGGTGGAGTGGAACGAGGTCCGCGGCAAGACGCAGGCAGCGCAGCGCCGCGTGTCGGAAGGCGAGACTGCCGCCGTGGACGCTGAAAACAAGACGCACGAACAGGAGCCACCACGCGCCGACCCATGGCAAGTCCACGGGGAGTCTTGGGGAGGCACGCAGCAGCCGAAGACCGAGGACAGCGACGCCGACATGGCGCAGCAGGCGGAGAAGATGCTCGCCTTCATCTTTGTCGCCGCGTTCCCCGGACCCGCTCTTGCCGGTTCGGCGTCTGGATTGGCAGCAGCGCTTTTAGCGCCAGCAGCGCCTGGATCGGCGCCCTTTGGGAGCGGCAGCGCCTGGATGGGCGCCGGCGCTGACTGGATCATCGCCCGCCTTGGGCAGCCAGGGGGCCCGTTTATTTGGACTGGTGCCAAACGGGGGCCCCGTAGACAGCCTGCGGAGAGGCAAGTCCCGAGCCCGCAGCGCGGCTTCGTCAAGGGGCGGAGTTTCCTGGAGAACGCGCGGCGGCGGCGGCTTGACGCCCAGGCGAGGGTCGCCGCGGTCGGCTTTCCGGAGGCCCTCGCCCGGCGCCGCCCGCGCCTCGTCTCCTTCGACGCGGCCGCGGCATGTCCCAGCCTGGCATGGGCATGGGTTTGGTTCTCTGCGGCACTCTCCCAGTTTGGCATAACGGACTCGCCCATGCAGTCGATCAGGGCGCTCTACGACGGGCAGCACTGCAGGACGCGCATCGGGGCACAGTCGGCCTCGCGGGCGTTGCCCAAGGTTGCCTTTGGGCTTTCGCCACGGCCCCACTAGTGGAAGCGCTGGCCCGCGCCCAGCGTTGCCTTCGCGCTCGTCGGCCAGCCGCCCACCGCGCGTCGCGAGGCTTCTGGGCCCTGGCCAGGACGCCGAGCTCGGCGTCTGCGCCGACGACATGGGCATCGTACTGTGGGGCTTCGGCCTCCTCGCACTCATTGAGCCCCACTTCCAAGCCGTGGGGCGCCTCGCACGCTTGTATATGCAACCGCGGAAATGCGCACTGGTGCCGCTGTGGCTGGCCCCCACTGACCTGCAAGCCATGCAATTCGCTTAGCTCTCGGAGAACTCGCCCCTGGCTGGTGCGATTCCGACATCGCCACGAAAATTAAGTACCTCGGGTTCGTGCTGGGCCCAGGATCAGACATCGCAGATTCATGGCATGTTGCCGCCACGAAGTACACGCAGCGCACGGCCGTGTTCCAGACCGTGCCGGTGCCGACGGCTGAGTTGATGACATTGTATAACACGGTTCAGTTGTCTCTGTCTTCAGCTACTTGGCCTAGTTATTGCCGTTGCAGGAGAACCTCATCAAAGGCGAGTTGGACACGTTGGTGGCATCGCATTCTGAAGGCGCCTCCCACGAGCTTCGCTCTAAACGACATGCTGAATATGGGGGAGTGGGCACAGAGGCCCGTGCTGAAGGCGCTGCTGCCTGCAGCTTGGGCCGCCGCCGCTCTGAGGACGGCCAAGGTCATTCACCAAGGGTGGCGCGATTTCGCAGCGGAATGGAAGGAGCGCACTTTCGACATGTTCCCAGCCCGCACCGTCCTGGAAGGGCGTTGGGCCGCCCCTGTCTGGACGCGGACGCAATCTATGGCCCAGTACATGATCTCGGTCACCGAGGCCGGTTGACGAGCCCAGCAAGCGGCTCTGCCAGCCACGCCAGCTCGCCCTGGCAGCAGGTACTGCCGCGGCGAAGGATGAGGTCCGCCAGACTGCTGCAGCGGGCCGCCGCGCCCGCGTGCAGCGAGCCCACGCGCGCGTGGCGTCCCAGCGCTTGCACCCCGAGGCGTTCCACATGATCCTTGGGCGTCGGCTGCGCGCGTGGTGGCCCCAGCGTCTCTTCCCCAGCGACTTGTAGCAGCGCTGGGCGGTGCTCCGACGCCAGCTGGCTTGTGCGGCTCCTGGCACGTGCTAGGCCGCCTACCGGACGCTAGCGGGAGGATGGGCGACGTCGCACCGCGTGTACGTCGGTCGGCCCGGGCTGCCTTGCCGGGCACGCGGACGAAATCTCGCACTATTTGTCGGGCTGCCGCGGGGCGCAGTGGAGTGTCTGCGTGGCCGCGCGATCCATCGCGCATGCGTGCCCCCTGCGCCGCCTTGGCCCCGGTGCATTCGCAGACTACGACGAAGAGCCACAGGACGATAATGGGTTCCTCAGAACGGTGGCGCGGCTGGCTACGTTGTACCGCAACAGGCCTGGTCCGATCCAGCCGCTTCCGGTGGCTGAGGCCTTGGCCAGAGCAGCGGCCCAGCGCGTCCGGGTCCTTCCGTTCCCCGCGCGAGCTTGGCGCACGCTGCCCGGCGCGGCCAGGGGCCGACGTGCTTCCAGCGCACCTCCGCCTCCATCAGCAAGACCGGGCGGACACCACAGCAGGTGGCGCAGAGGCGGCTTCCTACAGACCGCCATCTCTACTTCGACTACGTCGACGGCTACTCCGCCGGCCGCCCCGCGCGCGCGCGGGAAGTCGCCCGGCACTCTCAGGGAGCCACGGGCGCTCCTCCCCCTCCTCCCACATTTCCAACTCTTCATCTTCCCTCCTCCTCCTCCTCCTCCTCCTCCTCCTCCTCCGCCTCCTCCTCCTCCTCCTCCTCCTCCTCCTCCTCCTCCTCCTCCTCCTCCTCCTCCCTGTTCTCCATTCCTCCTCCTGCACCTCCTAGCCTTAACGGGGGCGCACGCGACGCGAACGGAGGGGGAGGAGTGAGGAGGATGAGAGGAGGAGGGAGGAGGAGCGAGGAGGGAGGGGGGGTAGGAGGAAAAGGATGAGGAGGGAGGACGAGGAGACGTGGAGGAGGAGGAGGAGGAGGCGGCGGAGGAGGAGGAGGAGGAGGAGGAGGAGGGGGGAGAGGAGGAGGAGGAGGAGGAGGAGGAGGAGGAGGAGGAGGAGGAGGAGGAGGGAGGAAGATGAGAAGGAGGAGGAGGGGAGGAGGGAGGAGGGAGGAGGGAGGAGGGAGGAGGAGGAGGGAGGAGGAGGAGGGAGGAGGAGGAGGAGGAGGAGGAGGAGGAGGAGGAGGAGGAGGACGGAGAGAAGGAGGAGGAGGAGGAGGAGGAGGAGGGAGAAGGAGGCCTCTATAATTATTCCCCCCCTACCTGGCCACCCCTGGGCGAGGCTGACGCCCTGCGCTGCGTCAAGTGGTGGTTGCGGAGGCGCAGAATACCCGTGGCCAAGGAGGCGGCGCGGGCCCCTCCTGCCACGCACTGTGCGCCAGACGTCGCTGGTGCAGCTACCGTGGTCGTCGGTGTGGTAGTCACCGTCAGCGCCGCCGTGGCCGCAGTCGGCGTCCCCCCCTCGCCGCTTAGGAGCAGGAGGAGCAGGAGGAGGAGGAGGAGGAGCATCAGAGGCAACGACGGGCTTCGAGTTTCGAGGACTGAGGCTTTCGGGCGTGGTCGTTGGTTTTGGCGGCTTTCGAGCGTCGGGATGCATTCCAGCAGCTGCGCCTCGTCGAGAGCGTTCCAGAGGCGCCCGAATCGTCCTGAACGGCCGCCTGAGACCGAATTATGACCCGAAAGCCCAATGACCTTTTGCATGAGTGACCGTTGGTGCGAGGTTGTTCCAGGGGCAGCGACAGGAGGAGGAGGAGGAGGAGGACGACGACGACGAGGACGACGAGTACGAGGAGCAGGATCTGGGTCGCTTGTAAATCGTGCTTCTCGCGCTGCCCTGCCCCTATGGGGGATTTGAGGGCGCGCTCGCGCAATGCCCGCAGCCGCTCCCTTCCACATTCTCACCCGTCGCATGTTCCTCCCATCTCATGCGACCCTGGATTCTCAGGTTCCTCCCCTGATCGTCATGCTCCGCCTCTTTCCTCCCCGTCGCTCCGACGCTGTATACCTAGACACAATCACATTGTCCTACATATGTGCAAGTACGTATACATATATGTATACATATATATATATATATACATAAACATATACATATACATATAACGGGGGACCGGGTCCGGGGGCCGGGGGCCGGGACCCCGACCGCAGATGTGTGGCGCGGCGCGCCGGGAGCTTTGCCGGATCGCCGAAGGCCATCCAAGATCGCCCGAAGATGGTTTCGGAACGCTCGAAACCGCGCTCCGATGGCTCCGGATGCCTTTCAAGACGACTCCCATGACGCCAAGAAGGCCCCCGAAGGCCGCGCGCACAAGACGGGGACGAGGAACCGAAGATTCAAGCGTTTTGGCCCAAGAGGCCCCCAACACCAAAAGAGGCCCCGAAACAGCTCCCCAATGGGACTCCCAAAACGGCCCAAGAGAGCCCCAGGTGGCGCCCAACAGGGTCGACCAGAGAGCTGGTCCGACTTTCCACACTCTACACAGAGTCCGCCCCCGGCGGTGCCTCAAGCAGGTGTTGCCACTGGAGTCCTCCCTTGCAGAATGTTCTTGGTCAGCCGTTCGACCTGTTGCAGTCTGGCTAGCATAGGAGGAGGAGGAGGAGGCGGAGGAGGAAGAGGGCGTCAGGATGGGAGGGGCGGAGGAAGCTGGACGCGAGGAGTGGGCCGCTCCTCGAGCGCGTTCTGACGTGGACTCCCAGGCGGATCCAGCCGTGGAGCCGAGGGCCCTCCCCGGAGGTCCAAGAAACGTCCAAAATCCGCCTCCTCCTCCTCCTGCTCCTCCTCCCCCTTCTCCCTTCTCCTCCCCTTCCTCATTCTTCCCCTCCCTGCATCCCACCTCCACGGGGCAATCCGTGCACGAGGGGGATATCGTCTTTTTGCAACCCTCCTTCACGCGGCATTCAGCGTACGAGAGGCTTTGTTTCACTGCGCAGTCCTCCCCCACGCGACAAAAAGGTGTATGAGGGGGATTATGTCTCTTTGCATCCTTCCTCCACGCGACAATCCGTGTACGAGAGGGATATCGTCACTCTGCAGCGCTGCTTCACGCGGCATTCAGAGAGAGAGAGAGAGACAAAGGTTTCTTTTCATTGCGCAGTTCTCTTCCACGCGACAAAAACGTTCACGAGGGGGATTCTATCTCTTTGCGTCCCTCCTCCACGCGGGAATCTGTACACGAGAGGGATATCGTGTTTCTGCAGTTCTCCTTCACGCGGCATGCAGCGAGCGAGAGGCTTCGTTTCACTGCGCAGTTCTCCTCCACGTGGTACACAGGCGTACGAGGAGGATGTTGTGTTTCTCTGCATCCCTCCTCCACCAATCCTTGTGCGAGAGGTATTTGCCATTCTGCAGCCCCTCTCCACACGACAACTCGCGCACGAGAGGCGCAGTCCCCCTCCACGCGACAATTTGCGTTCGAGGAGGATGTTGTCTCTCTGCACCCCTCCTCCACGCGGCAATCCGTGTACGAGAAGGGTATATCTTTATGCAGCCCCATTCACGCGGGAATGCGTGTATGAGAGGGACTTCGTCATTCAGCAGCCTTCCTCCATGCGACAATCTTTGAAACAGAATGATTCGTCATTCTGCAACCTTCTTGGGCTCCTCGTCGAGGCCTCTTGGGGCGCTCTGTGGGGCCCTTTGGGGTCCCTCTCGGAGGCCTGAGGGCCCTCCTGGAACCATCTTGACGGCCATCGATCAGGCAGGGGGTGATGCCCCAATCTCGGGCCGCTTTTTAAACAACTCTTGAGGCGTTTTGTTCTGCTCTCGGAGTTGTATTTCGCTCCTGCTGGATCCCTTCGGGGGCTGACTTGGGCCTATCTTGGAGCCGCCTTCTGGGCTTCAGAAACGATCAGAATCGACACTGGGAGGAGGCAAACATCATAATGCTTCGAACGCTTCGGAAGGAGTTTGATTTCTTGGAAGTTTCCCTGGGGTGCTGGGATGGCACTGCGGGCCGCCTGAGGGCGATTGAAGGCTTTTGGGGGGCGTGTTGGAGAAATCTTGAACCAGCGTGGCACACTTTGAACGATCTTTGAGGCCCCTCTTTGGGCTCGTAAGGACCTTCTTGGAACCTTCTGGGGCCATCCTTGACGCTCGAACGGCCCGCCGAGCGCCCTCGTCCAGGGGGAGGGTGTAGGGGGTACGGGAAGGCCCCCGCCCCGAAAAGGATGAGGGGAGGGCCGTTGGGACTCTTCTTCGTCATCCCTCCTCGTCCGGTTGACCCGGCGGGACCCACCTCGGCCTCATTCTCCTTCGTCTCGGGCGTCTTCCCCAGTGCTTATGGTGTTGGTGCTGCCGCGGCTGATGTTGCTCGGGGCCTTCGGTTCCCTGGTTGTCTGAAGCAGACTGCCACTCACATGAGCATCATGCCACCCTGCTGTCCAGCAGCACAATCCGGCATTCAGACGTTGCCCGGGTCTGAGGTTGAACCTGAGCTCGCGCGAAGCGCGCGCGATGATTCTATGTGTGTATATATATATATATACACACATCTATAAATATATAATTATGTATATGTATATGTATGTGTATATATATATATATATATATTGGTAGGGGCCCCAGGCCCTCCAAAGTGCACTGATTTATCTTCCCGCCGTTTCGGGCCCGGCTGGGGGCGCCCAAAAACGTCAAGGCGGCCGAGAGACGTCCAAGAGAGCGCCAAGATGGCCCAAGAGCGCTCCAAGAGAGCCCAAGACCGCACAAAAGCATTTCACACTTGGTCCAACATGGCTTGAAGACAGCCAAAGAGGGCTTCAAGACGGCCGACATGCTCTCAAAAGCACTCCCACGAGGCACTCTGGAGGCGAACCAAGTAGGTTTTTCTATGGTACTTGAAGGTTTTTCGGGTTCTCGCTGTTTCGTGCTTCCGACGGTCCAAGACAGCCCACGAGGCCCCAGAAATCAGCTCAACACCGCCCAAGATGCACCCAAAAAGGGCGCCACGACGGCTAGACGGCCCACGAGCGCCCCAAGACGGCCCACGAGGCGCCCTAGATCGTCCAAGAGGGCCCCAAGATGGCCCCAAGAGGGGCCCAAGAGGGGGAACACGAACCGACCATTCGAGCCTTCCGCCCCAAGAGGCTTCCAGGAGGCCCCAAGAGGCCCCCAACAGAGCTCTAGAGGCCCCAGGGCCCACGAGGCCCCAAAGGGGCCCAAAAAGACGCCCCACGAGCACCCCAAACGGCCCCCAAGAGGCCTCCAAAATTGTTTTCAAGTGGCCCCCGGGAAGCCTCCCACGAATCCCAAACGAACTTCCATGGGGCCTCTAACCCACAATCCAGGCACGGTGGCGGGATGGGCCGCAGGCCAGTATCGAGAACGTGAACCGAGAACCCGAGATCTTCGCCCCAGGAGACCCCAGGAGGGGTCAAGAGGTCTCCAAGAAGCTTGGCGACAGGTCGCCAGTCGACCGGTCGATGAGAGCGGAGGTGGAGGCATGAGGAAGAGGCGGGAGAAAACAGAGAATGTTGAGTTCATTATTCATGACCGCCTTGTTGTCTCAATGCGGTCCGCACTCGACCAGCTAGAACCTGAGCGCGCGAAAAACGCGCGATGTAGTTAGTTACCATATACACATACATATACATACATATATGCATTCCCCATATATAGATGAGCAAACATGTACACATACATATACACATACATATACATACATATGGTCGTTTAGATATACACATGCATGTACATATGAATATCCGTATATACAATCATGCAACAATCCACCCATGCATACATGCATGCGTGCGTGCATGCATGCATGCATCCATACATACATGCAACCATCCGTGCATGCAACCATACACACATGCAGACACGCACCCATACCTATACGACCACCTTGCGGGTGATAAGGAGGTTGGGGGGGAGGGGCCCAGCAATGGACAACAATGGTAATTGTTGTTCTGACGACGCACCGCCATCGTAACTTGTTTCGTTGTTCTTTCGAGCTCGCGCCGACATCCGAGGGCACCGCTAGCCGAAGCAGGGCAAACGGCTGGAAAGCCGGCGAAAGTGCGCCTCATCTGGTCAGGGAATACGGAAGCGCTGGCAAAGCCTGGCGCAGCCCGTACCCCCTGCACTCACTTTTTGCTCGGCAATGTGGTTTGGCTCTCCTCCGCGTTGTGCCGAGTGCTGGGCAGCGTCCGTGCGTGCCGCGTGCAGCGAGACGAGGCGGAGCTGCGACACACTGGCAATGTCTGGTGCGGGCGTCCGGCGCCATCGCGATTCCCGCGACTGATAAACATAATGCAAATCATTGTTGCCCATGTGAACGACGACGGTGGCGATGTCTGGCCCATAAGACGGGATCGCCCGCGTGCCATTGCTGTCGGTGGAGTGAA